AGACTTTCTCTTATAATCCGCCACAGTCATGCTACCCTATCGTAGAGCGAGGAAATTGGCACTTATCTTGTCTCGAATCGATTCAGGAAAGTACTTGTCTTGAAAGATCTGATAAAACTCCTCCCAGGTAAAAGCATCTATGTTCCTCCTTCTCTTCACCGAGTCCCACCAATGACCTGCCTCTCCCTCTAGCATATATGTCGCTAGGCCAACTCATAAATCCTCGGCTACTCCCATGGGATCACACATTTTCTTTATCTGGCGGATCTATTTATCCGCATCTAAGGGGTTAGAGCTTCCTTGGAAAGTAGGTAGGTGTTGTCGTAAAAACTCTCGAAGAACTATCATCCTTCGATTTTCGTTCCCGTTGTCCAGTACCTGAGCTAGTGGATAAACCCCACCGTTATGCTTTTTGTTTCCATTATGGTATTGTACTAGAGTGATTAGCTCCCGTAGGCATTGATATATGTCATTCATAGCATCGGGAGATGATGGTGGTGGGTTTGTTTGACCTCTACGACCACGCCCATGTCCACGCTCACCGTCCATCCTGCACATCAATTCACCATTTAGTTTTCTTGATGTACAAGACATCCTAATTATACTTTTAATCTAAAGCATAATGTTTGTAAAAAATTTAGATCAACAATTTTATTCAACCTAATCGTACTTCTCTAGTAGTAATCCATAACCTACAGCTCCCATGTAAGACCTAAAGCCTAGGCTCTGATACCAAAATTTGTAACTCCTCAAAATTCACATTGGACGACATCACAATTTAAAAATCATTCACATCACGAGAGCAACTAATAAGATCCATAAATAAAGATAATTTCATTCTCATACATAATATCTACAACATCATTCCAAAAGAATATGTCACATCATAGCCATTACATCCAAAAGAATATGTTGAACTATGACAATTACATCTAACATAATCAAATTTGAACTTTGCAGTGGAATAACAAAAGATTAGACTTTACATAGTCTAAAAAGGAATTTTCTAGTCTATCACGTAGGAGAGTATAGCCCTACGCATCCACCTCGGGATCCACATGCCCATCTAGTTGAACTTCCCAATGTACCAGATCATCGACTCCTAGTTCCTCCTCTTGTACAAAATCTAAAAAATATATTGTTTGTAGGGGGTGACCACTAAGCTCTGTAACAACATCCTCCCAAACTCGAACAACGTTTAGAAAAAAAATATAAAATAGTTCGGTCTCACTTTTCAAAACAGCATATATAACTTGAAATAAAACAGTGACAATTTATTTGGTCTCAAGTTAACTCGATAGCAATAATTTAAATGAAAGGAATAAGCATGTCAGAGTGATAGAAATCAAATAATCATTCAATAATGTCATTCCATATTCTCATGTATATTAGTTGCTTCCCATGAATCTACATTACAATTCTACCTCGTTCACCCACCACAATCACACAATCCCAAACATTTTAGGAAGAGCATATACCGTCTTTCACGACATTGACAAATCCTTCACAAGAAAGGTATACCATCCCTCAGCCTCGAACTTACGTGAATAATAGTGGTTGCTCTCACAAACAACAAACCACTACAAGTGTTAAGAAATCATCTCACCCCCACTGGGATAGACTAACCTCTAACACTCCACGGCAGTGCTCGAATGCAATTCAAGTCCATCACAGCAACCATACAAGAGATGCAATAACAAATATTTTCTCAAATCACAAGGAAATCCAAAATCCCCAATTTTTCAATTTGTATTATAAGAGAACAATTTAAGAAAATAAGAAAGAGATCATCAACAATCCATTTTTATTGTTCATTACAAAGCACTAAAGTTTTAAAATCAAGAACAAGGGAAAAAAATCAAGAGAAAAATTCATTTCTCTTGGAAACTAAGGTTTTATGACAAGAAAATAGTTTTCATGGTTATCTAGCTCTAAGTTTGTTTAAAACATGATAATCTTTGCAAAAATAACAAGAAATGATGATTTCATAGCATATATATATATAAATGAGAATAAAAATATACATATACCTATAAGCCCTAGCCTCAATGGTAAAGAACGGAAGGAACCCCTACCTTGAATCAAAGGTTCCAAGTAAAGCCCAAGCCCTAGAAACCTCCTTCCTCCCTTTTCTTTCTTCCCTAATCTTTCCCTAAAGTTCTAAGAGAGTTGTGGTGAGATTAGAGTGAAAGAATGGAAGAAAATGGGACTAAAATGGTGCTTTAAAGCCAAGAAATCCTGAATTTTACTGTTCACAGGGCCAAAAATTATATTTTTCTCCAAAATTACTGTTTTTGCCATTAAATATCTCCAATTTGATCCCTATGACTACCCTAAGGTTTTTAGACGTTTCAGATTCATTTTTAATGTTATTTTTACCTAAAAAATATATTTTTATGATTTATCTTTATACTAAAATAATTTACACCCGAAACACTAAAATTACTATTTTATTCCTCTGAATCGCTCTTAATAAAGGTGTAAATCGATTGACCCATCCGAGGTCTGACATACTATCATTGATACTCTATTATTGTCCGTTTATAACATTTGAAGGAAAGAATACTTAGTCACAAGGCTTTGGCAATTTAGGCACTAGTACCCACACCATTTGGTGGTAGTACATTGGTTTTTTCTCCTTTTCTTACATGATCCACTTCGAATCTGAAGAAGTTCAAAACATGAAAGTTGTAGATATGAATGTACTATGTATTGTGTCAAAATTTCAGCTCAATCGGATGGTTGAATCAAAAGGTATGACAATTCTACGAAAATTAGTCCAGAGCATACAGTACCGGTATACTTTAGCTTCTGGTGTTCACAGTACCGGTACGCTGCCTAGAACGCCTGATTTTTTATTTCCAATCCATTCTAAACCCTTTCAACACCAACCCAAACTTATACAACATAAATATTTTCATCAAATATAGTTGGTACAAGTTCTATTACAAACGATTTCATATATTTATCCGAGTTTTACAATATTAGCATTTAAAAAAAAATGATTACTTCTTATATAAAGATAAGAGTGTGGGGAGGGGAGTTACAATATAATCATCATCAACAAATCTCAATATCAATATATCATAATGCATATACCAACATCAACTCACAAGCATGTTATAATATAATCAATGCAAATAATACACTAAATCCACATAGGCATTTCATCAAACACCTTTAAGACACAAAATCATGTAACACATAATATGCCCAAAATCATCACATTTCTCAACAAAATCACAAGAAGTAATTTTAACATACCCAATTCATTATAGAATTGATTTAAACCATTCTTAATATTCATTTTCCACATTTCAAATAACATATGTATGTGCTATACATGAAATTACATCTCTAACACCCTACACATTCCATATATCAACCCTAGGTTAAAAATAAACGTAATTAAGAAATGAACCCTATCTCTTGAAGCGTAAAGCAAATGTTAGAAAGCCTCCTAAGACATAAATCAAGCTCTAACCCTTGATTTTCAAAATCTCGTCTTTTGAACTTTGTCAAAATCCGTACTTTTTGGTACATAGGCATAGCCCTCATTGCGTAGAAGAACTTTGATTCTTGGGCCAAGTGGATTCAACCAACAAAGAGTTGTAGATCGTAAAGAGAAATTAGAGAAACCCTTCATTTTCCCTCTCTTCCCTCTCCAACGAAAATCTGATTAGTATGGGGAGAAAATCTAATTTTTCTCCCCTATTTATATCTCTTGAATATTTGACCCTCGTTGTACCACACTTCTGCCTTTCTTGGGTCCAATTTTATCCCGAATAAATTAAATCTCGTCCCAACTCAAGTTTAATATATGTTTATTTGAACTAACTTTAAATTATTTTTTACTTTTCACAATTTAATTTCTGGTCGCATTTATTTTGGTCAGGTGACATCCGATCGTCTGAGAAAACGTGAAAAATTCAACTATCTTAAAATTCAATAAAAATTAAATAGGTAACTAGACTTCGTGAAACGAATCCAACGATGAGGTCCATTTTGTCATCCGAGTTCTAAAAAATTTCAATTTTCAACCCGTATCATAGTAAATAATTACCACTTTACACTTTTTCATTCTAGAAAAATTCTAGTTTTCAACCAGTTTCATCATCTATTTGATTTTCATCTCACAAATTGTTTCTATTTTTAGAAACAGTTTTTAAAAGAAAAGTTGTTTAACCAGTTATTTATTTATTTATTTTTTGAAAACTGAGAGCAAAAACTAGATAGATTTAAAGAATAAGTTAGAGATATTTTGTGTATTTTTGAAATAACTTTCACCACCACGTCCACTGTACCACCAGCACCACCGCACTCCCACCACCATCACCGTTCTACCACCACCACACTTCCATCACCACACCACCATCGCCTCGTCCACCACACCACCATCGCCACACTTTCACCACCATGTCCACCACCACCACCATACTCCCACCACATCACCACTACTATTATAATTTTACTGTCACCACTTTTTTGTTTTTATTATTTTATGGGTTAATGTCCAAAATTTTTTTCTCTATTTTCTGTTATGCAGAAGTGTTTTTGAAATCATATAATCAAATATATTCTGCAACACAAAAAACACCAAAACAGTTTTCTAAAACTCTTCACAAAAATAATTTTTGAATACTATTTTTTGAGATACAAACTAAACATGGTATTTTCTTTTGTTATAATATAAGCATAAGACAAAGTAATTATTCTCATATTTTTAAAGCACGTAAAAAAAGAGTAATGTTATACTTATCAAATTTTTTTATCAAATCTACATCCTAAATGATGTGGCATCGTTTTTTATTATCAGATAAGTGGATCACATTAATATTTAATGACAAAAATTGTGCCACATTACTTGGGATAATTGATTTGATAAAAAAAAATTAGTATGTATAATATTTTCCAGAAAAAAAAAGGAGAAAAAACGAAAAGAAAAGAAAATAGCTCTATGTTTTAGTACACGAGACGGGGGTGGGCGCCCTGCGAGTTACTGTATGTGTGTGTGAGAGAGGGAGAGAGATTCCCGGGAATTATCGGTTAAAGTGGCGATATCATCCCCAAGACCCCTTGGCTGAACAACTCCTCTCACTTTCTTCATCTATACAGAATCCAGAAGCTGCGAAGATAAAAATTTACAAAGTTTGGTTCTCAATCTGGGTAAGCATCACCCGATTGTCTCATTAATCTTTGCTTTTATGGCTGGCTCATTTCTAGGGGTACAGCTGATACGTGTACACGTATATGTGCCGGTGTCTGATTTGCTTCCTATTTTGTTTGGTTCCTTAGAAAATGTGGAGAAAGGAAATAAATTATGACTATGAATCTCAAATTCTGGGAATTACGGAAACTTATAAAAGGAAAAAGAATTAAAAGACTACCCATAAACTAAGCGTAATTCAGCTGTTTGAGTCGTTGGGTCAAGTCCAACACTTTCACAATACAAAGCAGGAAAAATGACACCCAAAATTCGCCTTTTGTTTCTTTGCTTTAATCTTGTATAGCAACTAGAGGGAGTTTTTTTTTTTGAATGACTTCTGACTGAATGTTTTGGTTGAATTTGTTGAAAAATTCTTGTCTGATATGAAGATGATGATGTCCAATATTGAATCTGAGAATAGCAGTGGTGAGGATTTGAGTAGTAGTTTGTTATTGCGTGATATTGAGGAAATAAGCAAAGCCCTTTATCAACACAAAACCCCTCCTAAGGCTTTGCTTTCTTCATCCGATCATCGATCCAAATCTGCATGTAAAACCCGTGTCTCGGCATCCAAATCGAAAGTCTTTATTGAAGACTTGTTGCACAAGGAGAAGAAGTCCTCGATATGGGATTGGAAGCCCTTGAAGGCTTTGACCCACCTTTGGAATCACCGGTTCGGTTGTTGTTTTTTTCTCCATGTACATAATATTGAAGGATTGCCACCGAATTTCAATGATCTTAGTCTCTGTGTTAATTGGAAACAGAAGGTTGAGGTGTTGCGAACTCGCCCGGGGCGAATTTGTCAGGGGTTGGTTGAATTCAACGAGACTTTGATGCATCGGTGTTCTGTATATGGAAGTAGAAATGGGCCCCAAAATTCAGCGAAGTATAAGCCAAAGCTCTTTTTGCTTTATGCTGCTGTTGTTGGGGCTCCAGGTCTTGATGTTGGGAACCACTGGATTGATCTTACAAAGTTGCTTCCACTTACTTTGGAGGAGTTAGCGAAGGAGAAGAGGAGCTCAGGAAAGTGGACAACGAGCTTTAAGCTCATGGGCAAGGCCAAAGGTGCAATACTGAATGTTAGTTTTGGGTATTCTATGTGGGGGGATCACTCATTTGAATCGAGCAGTTATGTGGAAATTGCTGAATTTGCAGAGAAAAGTGGGCCAAGAACAATGGACAGTGTTGCTGATTTTGGTCGGACTAGAGGTAACAGCATGCTTCGGAGGCTTGGGAGCGTCCCAAGCAATAGAAACCACGGGTCTCACCTCTCTTCTCTGTCATTAGATATAAAAGTTCTCGATGAAGTTTTTCGAAACCAAGGGTCGGAGCTTGCTCAGTCGATAACTTTTCTATATAAAAAACTTGACGAGGGAAAGCTTGGTAATGCCGAAGATTTTGATTTCTTTTATGGACAATTAGATCCTGGCTCTCCACCTGAGTTCTCTGGTGAAAATATCAGAAATAGTTGTGATAATACTGAGTTTACTGTAATTGAGCAGGGTATAGAATTGCCAATGCAGCAACAGCTAAAACTAGAGGAATATGCTGTTCAAAGTTTAGATTGTACTGTCATTGAGACTATAGATGTCGCTGAGATCTTTAGTAGTGATGGGACAGATATTGATGAAAAAATGGAATGCAATTCAAAGGATGAACTCTCCGTCAGTCAGCAAAATAGTGTAATCAATGGTTGTATATACCAAGAGAATGACGAATGCAACAAAGGACCAACTGTTGACGGACTGGAATCAGTCCTCAATTTGTTGATTTCTGAATCCGCAGAGTTGGATTCTTTAGTAGATGTAAACAAGTTTGTTGAGCAAGAAAATTGGATGATGACCAATCCAAGTTACAAAGCAGGTAAGATGGTTAAATCACTTAGCTTGGATGATGTTACAGAATCTGTGGCAAATGAGTTTTTAAACATGATGTGGGTTGAGAGGAGTCCCTTAGATATAGACTCTGGTGGTGAGCCTGAGTCTCCCAGGGAGCGTCTTTTGAGACAGTTTGAACAAGAAACCCTGGCTTCTTGCAACTCCATTTTTGATTTGGATTCAATGATGGAGCAGGTGGAATTCAGTGGTGCTGCTTCAACTAGCTATGGGAGGAGGGACTATTCTGGCGATTTTGATTTGTCATTGGTTTGTCAAGAACCAGAGAAGGAGCACAGTTGGGTTAGCCAGTCTTTGAGAAGTAAAAGGAATGTCAAATTGCTTGAAAACCTGGAAACAGAAGCTTTAATGCGAGAATGGGGTTTGAATGACAAAGCATTTCAAAATTCTCCACGGGCTAGCTCTGGTGGATTTGGAAGTCCGATCCATCTCCCTCCTGAAGAGCCACCAGAATTACCGCCTCTTGTAGAAGGCTTTGGTCCAATTGTTCGAATGAAAGGTGGAGGGTTTTTGCGGTCTATTAATCCCTTGCTTTTCAGGAATGCTAAGAATGATGCGACCTTGATCATGCAAGTTTCTGGCCTAGTTGTACTACCTGCTGCGATGGGATCAAGTATTATGGAGATATTGCAGTGCTGGGCATTGGTTGGAGCTGAAAAAATGTCTATGCAGGCAAATGAGTTGATGCCTCTGGAAGATATCACTGGGAAGACGATGCAACAAGTGGTGTGGGAAGCTGCATCTAGATCCGAGGGGCTCAAGAGGTTTGTAAGGACTTATATTTGGGGTTCAAATTATTTTTTCCCCTGTTTCTTTGTTCCCTGATTCTAATTAGTGCTTCATTTTCCCTTGTGACTTGTGTAGCAGGTTGCCTTTGGTGAAAGAATCAGATGTTGGGCATGATTCATTTTTTATGGGAAAGAAAGTTGAATTACCCTCTGATAAGAGTTCTAATAACCTGAACTCAAGCTCAATGCTTGATGAGATAGATTTAGAGTATGTATCTCTGGAAGATCTTGCTCCTTTGGCTATGGCTAGGATTGAAGCCCTCTCAGTCGAAGGATTAAGGATTCAGTGTAGCATGTCAAATGAGGAGGCACCTTCAAGCATTAAACCCCAGTTTATTGGAAAAAACTCAGCCTTTATACGCAAAAATCTCAAAGTTGATGGGGTTCTCAGTTCCGAGGGAGCTGCTGGGTTGCTACTTTTGGATGTTGCGGATAGTAGTATTGATTTTGATGAATTAATGAGCCTGTCTATATCATTGGATGAGTGGATGAGGCTAGATGCTGGACTTCTCAACAATGAAGATAAAATCAATGAACGAATTTTTAAGATCCTAGCAGCCCATCATGCTAAGTTCACGGATCTAAGTAGTGGAAAGTTGACAATGGACTGCAAATGGGACAAACTATCTGGTGGAACAAGTGGCTTTTTAGAGAATGACTTCACAGTAGCTCTAAATTTGCAGCTCAGAGATTCCTTTCGAAACTACGAGGCAGTTGGTGACTCAATGCTTGCTTTAATTCAGGTAGAGAGGGTTTATGTTCCTCTGCAACAAGAAGTACGCAGCACAGTGTCAGAAAGAAGCTATAATAGAGAAGAGGATGGGTTATATGGACAGTTGGTTGGGATGGGGATCAATATCAAAGAAGAGGAGAAAAGAATCAAAGAAGGAGGCATTCCTCGGTTTAAAATATCTGAAGTCCATGTTGCAGGTCTGAATGCTGAGCCAGGCGACAAGCAGCTGTGGGGTAACAGAACACATCAACAGTCTGGATCCCGATGGTTGCTCTCTAGTGGGATGGGCAACACCAACAAGCATCTTTTTTTTAAGTCACATGCAATAGTAAAATCATCCTCACAAATGATGAGAAAGGTGAATCAGGGGGATACCTTGTGGAGCATCTCCTCTCATGTTCCTGGTAATGCGGCTAAATGGAAAGAGTTGATGTCACTGAGTATACATGTACGTAACCCTGATATTGTCTTTCCCAAAGAAACTATTGAGATACCAAAAGTATAGCATTCCAAGTTCAAAGGATCAAGTTGGAGCTTTAATTTCACAAGAAGTATAGAGGTTAAGAGGTTGCACCTTGCTGTAACCAAAAACTGAGCCGATGAAGATACCAACATTGTAGATTCACACTTGTCATTGTGTTTTTTTGTAATATGTAACCAATTGCTTTCAAAATTTGATCATACTAATGAGACTCTGTTGTGGTAATACTTCTAGTGAATCAATTTTATTGAATCTACTGCAACGCAAAAGCTGAAATTATCCACCTTTTTCTCATTTAAATCAATAGGGTGATCCTTATGAAAGATGCTTTCCCTCTATTTTTCAAGAATCGATTTTGTAGAAGTCTTGCTGCAGCCATGCTCATTTACATTGCAAAGAAATGATATCCTTGCTTTACAGGGATTTGGTGCTCCAGTCCTGTGTTGGGGTCATGGCCATAGAAACCACCATTGCGGGCATATGTTTTTTCATCTTTCTTCTTTATTTCAGCAGTTGTCATGCCCTAGTGGTTTAGCATGACATGTCAGATTGAAACACTTATCTCATCTTATTGTGCAAGACTTCCTCTGGATCTCTTCATGAATTTTGTCTCAAATAATGTCATATTTCCCATGTTGTGTGCATATAAGCAGGCATGATTCCTTACCATTTCATGATTGGGTACATATTTAGTAGATCTAAAACTATCTTTTGGTTTATTCCTTCCCCTATCTTTGCTCGGTCGATCATGTGTGTGTGTTTGTGTTTGAGAGAGAGAGAGAGTACAGCAGAATAAATAGTTAGGGGAAGTGATTATGATCGCCTACATGTGGACCTCCATTTTTTTTTCCCCCTTTTGTCCTAATAGAATGCCTTAATTTCTGTAGAATTGGAATTTGTGTCAGGCATGTTATCTTGTGGTCAGTGGCATTCCCTGCTTATTGGTTTCTGTGATCAACAAAAATTTGTTCTTTAGCAGCCATACGCAGGTGGATGCCTGGGCACAGGACCGCTTTGCATAATAGCAGGTACTTGACTTTCATTTTCCACATTTTATTACAGGCAATCATCTATATAATGCTGTTTGATGAATCATAAATCTAGATTTGACGCAAGGTTCTGCGCTCGTAGTCCTCTGCATTTTCATACGTACTACCTTAAATATTATTTGAGTACTCTCCGTATGACCCCTTTCTATAGAAGGTTGCAATTTGCTTGGATTGGATTCATCACAATACACAACATAATTTGACTCTGCGCCTATTTCTTAGTTAAGTGCAAAGAGAAATTATGCCGTCTTTGCAGCCAAAATTGTGGAGAGTGCCATCCCACGATTCTCTCCTTTTAGTTTGGTGCCATCTTACTACGTGTTCGGTTATTTGCAGGACAATACTGATTGAATTTAATGGCTCCTATTTGAAAAATATCTGCGACAGATGGAAGGTATACTTTCAATTTAACACAGCTTGATATTTGTTTGTTATGCAAGCACAGATGCCAATTTGTAGGTGAGTTGCCACTAAGGTTTCTATCCATTTACATCCAAAAAATATGCAAATCGTGATTCATCTATGAATTGGGATGCAAGAACAATAACTGTGGACTCAGTAAACTGCAAAGATCTAACTAAATTGATTTGATTACCATAACCTCAATAGACGCAACTGCTGGATCACACAGGAATAGAGCGTTCTGCTACAAACTGCTTCAAGTCTGTGTCAACCCTGACACTGGAAATAGTCTAAAACAAGAGCCATGATGGAACTCTGGCGGGAATCTGGGTAGTGGCTGAGCTATTTCTTGAACAATGGTAGCCAAGAAACGCTGGTAGTACTTTAAAAATTCAAAATTCTTACAGCATATCAGAACTGAGAAGGGCCTTGGTGGTTATGGATGCCCTCGTAGGTTGTTATCACATAACTTGCATCCGCTCTATCCCTCTCAACTCTCTTCTTCACTGGGCATCCGTCAACCGAACACCTATAATAATTCCTGTTGATCACATGATATGGTCGTCGTAAGATGTAAATTCATGCTGTAATTGTTTCAGTTGTTCTCTATCTTAAATATGCCATATATTTATTGGTAAAATTTATTACTCTTTTGTCAAACCACTGTAATTGAAAAGAACCTAGGTATACCGAGGTTGCTGGCTCTCCCTTGTTGTACTGATTTCCCCCCTCCCCCCAACAAACCAAAAAAAATGGGAAAAAAAAAACTTTTGGGACCAAATATTACTTGTCAAAGCAGCCATTCGTGGCCCCGTGTTCCAAACCGGGCTTCATTTAACTCAATCAGTTGGCAGAGGGTTATAATTAAGAGGGATTTGGCCTACCAACTGCAGGCTCTGGCGGGGAAAAGGAGATAGAATCATCGAGGCCCATGAATTGTTTTGGGGTGGGGAGTGTTGGGAGGGAGGTTTTTAGCACTCATCTTGTATTTAGCATCACTTTCACTTGGAGACAGAAAGCCTTTGATTTTTTGGACCATTTGCCTATATGGTGGAGTATTTGGGTCGAGGTTCCATACTTCAACAGTAAATCTGAGTGTATCTAACCCATTTTAAATCACAAAGTGGTGGGAGCCTTGTTCACAGGGCACAGTTGACAGCGAGCAATAAAGATGGCGTTTAAGTTCTGGGTTGTAAGACAGAACCCAGAACTTATACAACACCAACATATCCATAAACTGACTAGCCAGTATATAAATTTAACTCTATTTCACGTCCTTATTGTCTAGCCTGCAGGTTGTATGTACGGTAAGACATTATTGGATCCCAAGTAAAATAGTTGCTTGTGGATGCCACTGCCTTGTTGTAATTATCACTATAAAATATACCTTGGGTTTGGGCTGTTTTTCACCATTTTCTTCCCATACTTCCTCCACTTGAAGCCATCATCCAGTATTTCAACCTCTGACTTTGTTTTGAAGGCAACTCTCTCTCTAGCTTCCTTCTTCTCCTGGCCAAACCCACTGTCCCCTGTTAACAGCACAAAACAAAAACATTATTCAAGTGTTTATGATACATGATCAATAAAAAAAAAAAACATTGTATTCTCTCTCTTTCTTTGTTAAGTCAAATTCTAACTTGGTAGAGAAGCTCTGAAAGAGAAAAAATTTTCAAAATTGAAACACACACGCGTGCATGTATCATAGTACTATTATTATACAAGAAGGTTTATCAGTGATTTGCTTATTGCTACCAGGTGCCTCATGGTGGCTGCTACTTCCACTGGGGTTCTCAACTTCATTTGCCGCATAAAGAGCTGGATTCTGGGGATACCCAGAAACAATGAATGCTGGATCTTCGTCTACCCATTCATCAAACTCAAAAATCTCGGAAAGTTCAAAGGTCGACTGATTCGGATAATCGGTTTCTGGTGAGCCAAGTGATCTCGACGTGGTACGGGACATTTCACTATGTGGATAAGCCCCGGCCATGGTGATTCATACATGTGTTACGTATAGTATATATTGTTTGTGTCCATGGCTTCGGGGTGCATGGATGTTTCGTAACGGAGTTCCTACGACGTGGAAAGAAGCTTCATGGCTGGTGCTTGGTGGTGGCGGTGGCGGAGAAATTCTGTTGGGCCCAAGCAGATACTTTAACATTAGATCATGATGCTTAGAACAGATGACAAGAGAGTGGGACATGGAAGGGAAGACTTGTGAGGAGACTTTGTGCTATCATCGTGAAATTTCTGCTAACTGTCTCGTGCATAGACCAACCCTTTCACAACGGAGTAGAATACAAGTCATATATGATAATGATTTGTGGCATGACCCCCAAAGGATGGACAATTGGGATTGGAGTCCACACTACATAGCCAAAGGTTCCGAGTTTGAGTAATTAGATGAAATTACTTATATGAGATTTATACTTCTAAATTTTTGGTAGATATGGGACGAAAAGGACAAATTATTATGTTTTGAACCCCTAAACTATTGACTCAGATCTCATTTTTCTTACTTAACTATTGAATTTCTCATATTACCTCAACCATTTGAGTTTGTTTTAAATTGTTTCACTGGAAAAACACTTAACAATCTTTGTGGACGTTAAAATGTTCATGTGTCATTGGATTTTGGATAAAGTGAAATACGCAGTTCGAGGGGCAAATACGAGACAACCTCTTGCCCAGTCTATAGTGGACTGATCTCACTGGGACTGTGAAAAACTAATAGTCACAGTTGTGGGGACGATGTGAGAAACTTGAAAATTGAAAGGTAGTATGAAATAAGGGATCATAACTTAAGGGGTCAAAGTGTAATTTGTCCTTAAAAATGAAAATAACAAAGTATCAGTTTCGCGGAAGATATACAAACTGGACCTGTCCATTTACTGACAAGAATTGGTGCTGGTTTAGCAAATTGACAAATATTATTGGAGAATTTATTTTAAGAATTTTATGCATTTAGTCATTAGATTAGCAGTGTATCCCAATATCATATAAAGTTCACTATTAATCAAATGAGTACGATGAATTCGATTTTCAAATTTGATCTCTAAATTAGATACAAAAACTATTAATGTTAACGATGCATATAAGCTGCCTGCAGCCGTTTTCTCATAATTCCTCCCTGACATACAAACGTCCTTAAGCTCTTATGAACAGGAGCTCCTTCAATAGCCAGTTTTTGGACGAATTAATACCAAGTTCGAGTGTGAATTCACGTTAAATGGCATTGAACTTGGTCCAAACAAGGCATAAGAGTTCATACGATGAAGACCTACCTTCCTAAAGGTGACTTGCAGTTAAAAGTAGGATTCACCACCATTGAAGTATGAAAGAGATCAAGTCAGTCAATAAGTCAATTCAAAAGTCTAAGTTTTTTTATATTTGGAGTCTACATTGTGGTGGGACTTCACATTTACCATAAAAATTAGGTGCAGGACCACCAAGGCCGGCCACCCTATTTGGTTGTGTCAATAGAATAAAGGACAATAAAGTTGCCTCAAAAAAAAAAAAAAAACACTACTTCCACTTTTAATGTAGTGTGACAATCAAAATTTACAGAATTTGAAAATGTTAGGATCCCCATCCATATGGCAATACAGGAGTTGAGCATAGTAGTAAACTGCTTAAGTTCAGCCCATAACAATTACAAGTTAGTGGTTCTTACTAAAAATGCTTGATTTGTTATCACATTTACTAATTGAGGTAACTAGATCCAAGTTCGGCAATTCAAGTTATATTGATGTGGAATATTCGTTTTAGCCCGATAACCGATATAGTAAGGTCAAATTGGGATGAAAATTAGTGAATTTTGAAAGGATATAAGGAGGCCGATACCTATGTAGAAACTTAATAAGAAAAAAATTCACTTTTTAAAACAATTTAGACAAAAGTCTATATGACTGCAAAAAGATATAAAACCCCTTCAACATGAGGAAGAGAAAGAGTCATTCGCATTTTAGAAACAAAAAAGAAGTTTCGGTTTATTCGGCCTCAGATACCAAGAAGCCATTATTGCCACATACCAAACACAATATTTAGATGCTAATATGCGAAAATCCACATTTTTTTTAATTTCAAAAATTTGAGGATTTCAAACCGTGGGTCCATATTAGGGGTGCAACTTGGACGGGTGGGGCGGGTGGGACAGTCAACCCTAGCCAACCCAAAATACATAATTTTCAACCCTAACCCTACCTTGAGTTGAGAAACTCAACCCGAACACTGCCCGAGTTTAATTCAGACGGATTTGAGTTGAATTCAAGTTAATGATTTCAGGTTACTTCAATCAAGAGGACTTGGCTTTCTCATGAATCGACAACTTTGCGTCCAAACAACAATTAAGCAATGGTTGCACATAAACAATAGTAGGACATGGTAACCAACGTATGAAATGAATCTTTAATTATGAACACAAAACACAATACAGTGAAAATCCTGAACATGATTCCCATTAGCTTCATGGTTGTTTCTTTATGACAACAGTTTCAGCTTCATTTTTTTACAATAGAGAGAAAGGTAGCTTAATTGGTTAAATTGTTTTAGTAATCAAGAGACCCCACATATGTGATCCCACAGCTTAAATTTCTTGATTCTTGTCGGCTCGCATAGTCATCGCAACTGTTATTGGAAGCCTCGGATTTGAGAGTGAGAGATAGGTCTGAGAGTGAGAGTGAGAAACTGAGAGACCGAGAGAGACTGAGAGTGAGTAAGGGTTTAAGGGAGGCGCAGACTTGAGTTGAGATTAATCCTAAGATAAAATTGTATTCGAATAGTATTAATTCGGGTTAAACCCGATTATTAAATCGGGTTGAGCCCGATTTTAATATTCGGGTTCAACCCATGAACCCGAGGCCCGCCCAAATTAAATTCGAGTTGAAATTTTTTGATCCAATCTCAACTCAAGTATTAAAAATCCTAGCCCAAGCCTTAATTGTTTTGGGTTGAAATCAAGTTAGCCCACCCAAGTTGCACCCCTAGTCCATATCTTCCATATTTGCTTCAATATAGATATTTTGGAAGAGTAAATCAAATAATCTCTCTGACGATTTGTTGGGTTCTAATCATCAGTCACCAAAAGCTTGGATTCACAATTTTTGGAGAAGTAAAAAAGATATTGGTGTTCTTCCATTCGAAAGAATAAATCATTTTTATGGAGCAAGGAGAAGCTCATCACTTTTGAGTTGGGTTTTCGATTATCAGAATCTTTGGGCTGCATTGGGTGATTTTCAATGAGAAGAATTTCAACTTTTTAATTTTTTTTTCCTTGAAAATCCCGAAACAAAAAAAACTATGCCCTAATTTGAGTGTGAAATTAATAAACTCTTTATAATTCATAGAAAACAAATATATTTAACATTAAGAAGCAAATTTTCAAAAGCTTCACTAACTTTATGTATATTATTACAGTATGATGTCTCTCTATTGAGAATTTGAAATTTCAAGTTTTGGGGGAAATTTATTGATTACTTATTTGAAATTGTTGTGAAAATGTATATACTAATTTTCGATATGAATTTATTGTGATTATGATTGGCTTCACAGTATGGTATCACTCTATTATATGACCATTGATTAGGATCTTCATTCAACAACAAATAGTAGCTAACATGTGACTAGAGAGAGACACCTTATAAAGTCTGAACTAGTAATCCTGTGACAATAGAATGATCATGTGACCATTGCTTATTCAAAAAAAATGAAGAAAAAATTACCTCGGACTATAAAATTATAGTCTAATGTTATGGCTTGGGCATCACAAACTACACAAAAAATGGATTGTATCCATGCAAATAAACTATGGATTGACAGCCTACATTAGGTCATTAGCCATTCGAAACTTAATTAAAACTTTACTAATTGCAATAGTGTGACACCTTACAGTGACTACTTAAATTATTGTCTTGGCCATAACAAACTGCATAACAAAATGGATTGTATACATAGAGAGACACAATAGAGAGACTGCCTAATTTCATAGCTTGTACACTGAATGAAATTTTTTTTTTAAAAAATATAAAGTTGTAAATTGATACAATATGATGTCTCTTTATTGAGAATTTGAAATTTCAAGTTTTGTAGGAAATTTATTGATTCATTATTTGAAATTGTTGTGAAAATGTATCTACTAATTTTCAAATTAAATATATTGTGATTATGACTAGATTCACTCCATGGTGTCACTCTATTATACAACTTTTGGTTTGGATCTTCATTCAACAACAAGCAGTAGCTGACATGTGACCATAGAGAGTCACCTTGTAAAGTCTCAAGCAGTGATCCTGTGACCATAGAGTCATCCTGTGACCATTGCTTGTCTAGAAAAAATTGTAAAAAAAAAAAAATTAACCATGACCGTAGACACTATAAAGTGACAGCCTAATATCATAGCTTAGACATCACAAATTATATAAAAAATGGAGTGTATCCATGTAGATAAACTATGGATTGATTGCCTACATTAGAAAATTGGCCATTATAAACTTAATTGAAAATTTATTAATTGTAATAGAGTGACACCATAGAATGACTACTTAAACTATTGATTTGGCCATAACAAACTACATATTATTTTTTTTCTGATTTGTGTGAATTTATTATTAACAGAATCATTATTTTATAACATGTATAACCAAAAATGCGATCGTCATCAACAAATAAATATGAGTTCAATTATAAGGAAGCAATCGTAGAACAAGGATCTAAAAAATCTCAACAAAAAAGCGTGAAGTACATTAATCAGAGTAAAAGTCAAGAAGAAGGAGAATAAATATAATCCACAATGTAGATCTAATATGTTTGCCATTATCAAGGCATTGGATGAAATAATCTTCAACAGAGAGCACAAGAAAACGTTGAAGAAGATCCCATTCTAGCTGCTGTTTGAGAGTATTATAGACAAACACGTTGACAAAACATGGTGTAGGAAGATTGACAAAATCAACCTTGAAATAATTTTATGCTTCAATAGCAACAAATCCAAAATGTGTATAGGTGCCAAAGAAGTAAAAATGCAGACAAATTATGTGAGTCTCATATTTGGGATTCAAAATAGTTGTGAGGAAATTAACTCAACAATTTATGGGAATGTGTTTGTTGAATGGAGGTTCAAAAACGATCGAAGGTTGACAACACTAATGA